ATCCACATAGCCTACCTATACCTCTATAGAAAGAGCAGATATAACAATACGGTATAATGACTGAAGCTGTAAATCTAGAACAGTAAACTATACCAAAATAGCTTATTCCCTCAAAAAAAAAAAGTTTATTTATTTATTTATTCTTTAAGCCGCTAACCACACTACAGTCACACATCAGCTCTAACTAGGACATTTTGTTTGTTGACAGAAAGACTTCAGCACAGAACTTGGATTTCAGCGGACAAACAGTTTACACACACAAGTCACAGGAGACCATTCATTTTTTTTTCTCCATTTGTCTCTCAGGTTAAAACTTGGTTCCAAAATCGACGAGCGAAGTGGCGAAGACTGAAGCAGGTGAGAGGTTTTCACATCAAGACTCAGTCAGCTGAAGGAACAGGAAACTCCAACATGTCCTCAATGCAATCAAACAAAGTTAGAAGTTTAAAAAAATAATAAATAAATCGACGGTTTAATTTTTTTGATTCTTTTTGTTACCAGAGTTGAAATAAACTGGACTCAACATATTCAGCATGTTACCCAAATAATCGATGAATGTTAGAGATAGAGTTACAGATATTTGACTTTTACATTCTTACATTCTTCTTGTCTTTGTAAATCCGGTGATTGTTACTGTAAACGGTTTATTTCTAAATTTTCGATGAAATGTTTTTTTTTTCTTCATTAGAATTTATAATTTCCAGTAGTTTATTTATTTCACACGAGGTTAGTGACCGTCAGGAAGTTAAAAACCCGAGGATTCGTCCTGTTTTTACAGATTCTGGCTCTGATCAGTGGTGTCATTTTTGAGTTTTTCATTTTGAAATAGAACACTTTGTGTCCGAGCTTGTGGAGTTCAGAGGACTAACTCAGTGGTGTGTCTGTTCTCCAGGAGAACCCTCCGGCCGGCAAGAGGGAGGCGGAGGAGGACGGAGCCGCCGGCGGCAGCAGCAGCAGGAAAGGAGACGAGCGGACCGAGCCGGCTGGGATCCGGAGCCCGGAGCACCGACACGGGAGCCCGGCATCGGAACCGGCGCAGGCGGCTCTCTGCGGGCGGCCCCTGTCATCGCAGCAGTCGTACACGGAGCTGAAGTCGGAGGTGTCGGACGATACAGACCAGGAGCTGGACATAGAGGACGACGACCCGTTTACACTAAACCCGCAGTTCTGAAACTCAGGCTCCGGACCGACACCGGACCGCGAACACTCGGTGATGAGGAGCCAATCAGTGTCAGGCTGCTTCAGAGACTAGCTCCTGATCTGACAGGCCTCTGAGGTAAAACACAGCCGGACAGGTGGACTCTCTGCTCCTGCTGCGTCCAGCTGCGTCCAGCTGCTGTATATAAAGGTGTTGCTGTCAATAGAAGAGTGTGTCTGTACTGTTCCATGTGTTGTGTTGGAGGACAAACGGCCTGAAGTGTGCAGGCCTTTGTCTAAAGATGTGATATTCCAGTAAATCATCAGTGTGGCGTGAATTGTGTTTCTATATCTAAGAAACGATTTTGTGATAAGAATAAATCTGACACTTTGTATATAGCTCGGCTGGACTGTGATTTATTCTCCATTAATTAGCCGAAAAATGCACAAGAAAAAAAAGTCCCGATATTAGGGTAATTAGGGAAATTATAA